GTTAGGTACGAATACGCTATTTTATCATAAACCTACGATAAAGATACTATTACCACATCTATTACAAAATACTTACAACAGTTTTTAACAGTTAATAAAATATCTTTTTCATTCTCTTTTCGGAATATTGCATTTTGTGTAACATGACATGACGACACGTATAGGTAACTACGGTTGCTACGGTCCTCTCTGTTGTAGCAAAAATGTAAAGTTTGTTCCGATGATTCTCAGGTGTATTCTCCCTCCGCTACATTCACGAAGCGGATATATTCCGCTTCTCTCTTCGCTATAGTGTATCGCCAGCCTTCCCAGCACCGATAAAATAAAGGAACACTCGATGGATATTGTGGTACCGGTCTTCCGCACCAAATCGGCTATGAAATAATCTGCGAGATTATATTGACGCTTCACCATTTAATGCGTCGGGTAAAAATACGATCGGTGTTGTTTTAGGATCACTTTGTTGGTATATCTCAGGCCTTTGATTAATAAAAATATTGAGGAAGTAATTGGATTTGAAGGAGAAATCGTGCCAACATTAGCTAGCACACTTTACATAATTCGATGAAAATTTAAACACCTATGTTTAAAGAAATCTGCAATGAACGCAGTGATAGTTTCTCCCCTATTTTCAAAGTAACTTGATGTTATTTAGGTGTTTTTATTGAAAAATATTGTTTGTAAGTAGTTCTAAATATTGAAATAACTTGCAATTTAGGAGTGTTTTGTACACGACAGCACACAGACAGACTATACATACATACCTGGACGAACTTGAAGTATAATAAGATGCCGCAGTAGCTTAATTTGTTACTGCCGTACAATTCTATACTACGGTAAAAATTGTGACATAAGAAACAACTTTAGAGCTTTTTACAAAGCATCTTATATCTGGGAGCTTTGCCCAAATAGTTACAACTTACTTGTACAACGTGGTTACAAGAAACTTGTAGTTTCCAACAAAGCTAGCAAACGTAAAAGCTTACGTTTCTTTTGTGCGATAAGAGTTGTTCGAATTAGTCATATTGAGTGCGAGTCCGTGGTCCCATCGTTTTCTTTAGGGCTGGCAGTTTCAAATTAGACTAGTTTTATCTATTATGATTTAATTTTAGTCCAAGTGGTTAAAAAAGAAACAGAGATTCTGAGTTCGAAACACAAGTGGGACACACAAATTAAAAAGTAAGACTGGTCGAATAGAGATCCGCAGAACGAGGGTTCGAACCCCGCAGTCACTGGACTATTGTTGTGAACCCACTCGTAACACAGGCATTTCACTTGACTATGAAGGGCTAACGGGATTAAAAAAAGGAAAAAAAGTGTACAATAAATACTTCACTTAGTGGGACTGATTGGTTTTAAGTAAAAATTTTATCATTCCATACTAGATCCATCTGATATCATGTAGATTGTAGGTAGGTACCTACTTAAGTATAATCCAATGCAATACTAATGCGGAAACTTTTGATTGCTGTCTCATCATCATCAGTCAACTTTTCAGCCACAGGAACATAGACCGTAGAACATGAACATAGACCTCCCTCAATGATATCCAGATCGGCCAATTGGTTGATGATTGGCATGCGCTGGATGACCGATCAATCTAGAAATCTTTGGGGGAGGGAGGCCTATGTTCAGCTGAAAACAGCCAATTAAATATGTCAAGTTTGGTATGAAAATAAATTAGTTATTATATCAATATCTCCAGAGGCGATATGACGTAAACCTATCTTCTTTTTTGCAACAGCCCTGTTACAGGATGATAATGGAAACGCATCACGTATCTCAAATTTGTCTTTTAGCGAGTTTTAGAAGGCGTTTCCTTATAAAAAGCGTGGCAATAAAACAAGCATTTGTGAGTTCTCGACTTGAGACCGAAGTTTCGGTGTTTCGGAGTACTTAGAGGAGGTTTCTACTACGATTTTGAGTCGTTCACAATAAAACTAAGACTTTTTTTTTGTCAAGATGCTCTTACAGCACACAAATGCTGTTTTATTTTCCTCCCATTTACTTCCGATTAATTTTGTAGGTCCAAAGGAATTCTAACTTTTCCTTTGGTCTAACCTAGCCTTTAATCATTGAGTTTTATTAGTCGTTAAGATGATGATTATGAGTCGTTAGATCCTGACTAAACATTAACCCAAAGCTTCAACCACACCAACGCGTCCAGATGGGCCATTCTTAAATTTGTGCCAATTTTTTTTTTAAATTAAGGGTACTTCTCATTTACACTCAAATTTGATGGTCACACAATAATAGTTCATAAACGGTATAAGTTAGAACAATAACTTTGAAATCAGATGATAAAATATCTATTTAGCTACATACAAAATAAGTTTTATCGTAATAGAAGCAAAAATAATACGAAAAAATCACATGAAACCATAAAAAACGGGGTCATTTTTCGCGTTCTCATCATGTCACACCTTCGGTTGCAATGAAACATTTGGTTACTGCATTCACAATTTTCATTCAATTTGTGTGTAGCATATACTAAAATCATCGTAATTAAATATACTTTCCACACAATAGTCAAAAAAATATCTTCTTATAATTATTTTGAATTGAGAAAGCGAAATACGTTGGTCACACGATTTTAGGTACCTAAAATTTGGAGTGTTAANTTTATCCCGTACAAAATGTTCATGGATTTTGTTATTTTTATTAAATACCTTTACGCCTGAGTTAAATGACACCGACATCAAGGTTCATCAATTTAAGTTTAACATAATAGGCAGTAATGTATGAAGAAAGAGCTTCTATTCTGTATCTACCTATGCCCGTGTATTTTTGATCGGTGTCAAATCGGAGTTTTTGGTGCGGGGTACGCGGGTGTTGCTCGCGGCGTGAAGGTCAAACGCCCAAGGTCATTGAGGACTCTAATCGCCTTAACTAGCTGGATCCGCAGTGTACTCGTATATTAGTTTACGTTATTGTGCACTGGGTTGCTCCATAGTTCCATCTGTATTACATGTTTTGTCTATATCTACGAGTAGACAAGTCACGTCAAAATCTAACTAAAGGTAGCCTTTCGAACTAAGCGTCACAGACGCAGCAGTCTTGTGCCACCAACGCCGCGTCACTAACTCGCTTTGAAAGGCTACCTTTAAGACCAAAGCTAAAGACGCTGCGTCTGTGACGCTTAGTTCGAAAGGCTACCTTAAGGTTTAGCATTTAACCGAGTCCAGTGCCTGAGGTAGATTATTATAGTTCCTTTCATCCACGAAGACGCGTCCCACCAATTTGGGAAGCGCGGGGTGCGGGGAGTTTGATCCGAGCAATCCGAGCGTCATTATTGTAGTGTGCGTGTGCACTCATGGATGATTTAGCGTGTACCGATAACACTCTGTCATGTCTATGGCCGTGTCGTATGACGTTTCCATGGAAACGGATTGTGTTGACTAATAAAATGATAGAATATCAAAGTACTTTATTATTTAATACACTCAAACATTAGCAGAAGAATGGTCCGGCGCGTCTTGGATGAAACTATCTGTGGTGAAATAGTCAAAACTCAATATCTTTATCAAAGGTCAGCGAGACATCAGATCTTCAGATTTGTATGCTGTCACGTCATAGTATGTCAATGTCAATCTCCCGCGCCGTTCCCATACCTCAAGGCACTGACTGACTCAAATAAGCGCTATACCGCAATTTATAAAAAGCGTGGTTATTTTGAAAAACAATTCAGTTCCTAATGAGGGCTATCGTTTTAGCGCTCACCAGTTAGCGCCACTGTAGAGTAAGGTCCTGTCACTTGCTAGTAGCGAAGACAGTGGCACCAACTGGTGAGCGCTAAAGTGGTAGGAGGACTATCGCAATTGCACTCATCAAGATGGCGCCACTGTAGAGTAAGGTCCTGTCAATCGCCAGGGGTGCCAACTGTTAAGTATAAAAACGATAGCCCTCATTAATAGCCCTCATACATACCACACGTCATACAGATGAATGTTATTACTTTTCCGAATATGTATCTCTGTTAAATTAAGCCGACATGAAAAACGCTCTTCTTGTAATTTTACTTGTTTGTATCATAATAGCAAACATCGTACATCATCCCTTACTAGACATTATTTACAGTCATTAAAGATTCAACTTAGAAACTTAGCGGAACAAACGACAGATTTTGTCAACAAGCACAGTTTGCTCTTTACTGCTCGACAAACAAACAAATACCCGTTCATAGAATATAGAGAGAGCGTATTTTCGCAATATTTTTTTATGGGAACTTCTAAATACTCTTTGAAACTTACCAGATACACCATCTGTAATTAAAGCTGTGGAAAATGATGAATAAATCGACTAAAACAAATAAAGTAAAATAATGAATAAAATTACTCAGATTCGTCTTCCTATCTGATGTTTTAGTACTTGAATAAATGACACACCAACATCGCAAGACACTTGAGAATATTCGCACAAGCATCTCGTAATGTTTCCTTAGCTATAAATACCTGACAATGGCCACCGGCCTCCCATTGTCCTCCAATCACCAGCGACGTGGATGCAGAGCGTCCGACGATTTAACACTTGGAACGTCCGCTGCAGATTCGGAGGCATTGTGGGGTGTCCTGTCTGAGGCACATTGACTTGATTGATAGAAACTTCTTGTCTAGGATAGGTGGGACGATGTCATTGACGTAGGTACTCTAATGCCCTGTATTTGGTTAACTCGATGACTAATAAATAACATGTGAAATGTGTGGTACCTACCGAGTATTCTCGAATACTTTGAAGGATACCATAACGAATGCTACGTAGATTTTTTTTGATGTACAGCTAGATTCGTCAGCAGGAGTTATAACTCTCAGCGTACCACCAGATCTGAAGTTTGTCAGCGATTTAGGATTCATGAAGGCATCTGAACACAGTCCAATTTATCTATTTCCAAACCTAATCAGTCTCATTATCTTTAGAACGGTCTAACAAGCTAGTCCAGTAGGTCTCTAGGAATATTGTCCAGTAATAATATACCTACTAATAGTTGAATTGGTCTTTTTCAGCATGAGGTCACGGCGGTGTGGTGTCCGCATGGAAGCCCGGCGGACTGGTGAGCTCGCGCTGCACCCGCTGCGAGCGCAGTTCCGCCGCGCCCTGCCGGAATGGACCGCGCGGGCCTCCCGTCGCCGCCGCACTGCGCGAACCATCGGCCGCTCCAAGGAGGACCCCGCGAAACCCTCGATACCGCAGCCCCGCCCGCGGAGGCCCTAAGCGACCCAGAGACTCCGCGGCCCGCGCCGCGCGCGCTTCCCTCCATACCCGAGAGCGAGCCGTTGCTCCGCGCGCCGCTCAGTGCCAGTGCGATCAGTGAGAATGCCGCGCGCAAGGCCGGGCGGCCGCTGCACGTGCAGTTCGACGCGCAGTCGCCGCCCGCGCCCGTTTCCAGCTCCAGCTCCAGCGCCAGCTCCTCCGACGACGAGGACGTGTCCATCGCCGAGGCCCGCCCGCCCGACGGCGGCTTCGGCTGGGTCGTCGTGTTCGCCTCCTTCCTCGTCAACCTCATCGCCGACGGGATCACGTTCAGCTTCGGCGTGTTCTTCCCGCACTTCCTGGAGTACTTCGGCGAGGGCAAGGGCAAGACGGCCTGGATCGCCGGCATCTTCATGGCCATGCCGCTGCTGTCCGGGCCCATCGCCAGCTTCCTCACGGACCGCTACGGCTGCCGACGCATGACCATCTTCGGCTCCATCCTGGCGACGCTCGGCTTCGTCATCTCCGCCTTCGTGGACAGCATGGAGACGCTGTTCCTGACGTTCGGCATCATGGCCGGCTTCGGCCTCAGTTTGTGTTACGTAGCAGCAGTAGTGATAGTAGCGTATTATTTTGACAAGAAACGCTCTCTGGCAACTGGGATATCAGTTTGTGGGAGCGGCATCGGGACATTCATATTCGCGCCGCTGACGTACGTCTTGTTGGACGAGTACGGGTGGCGAGGAACTACTTTGATATTAGCCGGACTATTCCTAAACATAGCCGTGTGCGGTATGTTGTTCAGAGACTTGCCCTGGACGACGACGATGAACGCAGAGAAAGCTAGAGAAAGAAAGCGCAGAAGAGAGAGGAAAAGAAACAAGCGCTACGGATCCTCAGCTGACAGTTTTTCAGACAGCAAGAGTAGCGCAGCAGGGTCTGCCAAAGTGGCGGAAGCAGGGGACGTGGAAGTGGTGACGTCTCCGATTGTTCCGCAGTTCAGTTCTTTGGTAGATCTTCCAACATTCATGACGGGAGGCGAAGGCGTGTCGCTCGAAGTGTTCGAGTTGATGTCGAACAGAGGTCGGGCGTACGCCATGTTGGCTCAGAACTACCCGGGCGTGATGCTTCCCTCCCGAAGTTTCAGTGACAGTGGGCGTCTGCACGAGCAGTCGCCGCCTCGAGCTTTGATGTCTCCGGGGGTGACTTCTCCGGGGGCTTTGTCTCCGACGGCCCCTCGGCCTCCTGAGACCAATAACACCTCTGCTCCTCCCCCTCTTAGTGACAAGGCTGCTATGTCCTTGTGGCTGCGACGGCAGACTGCCACGGGCGCGTCCACCAAGAAGCCGCCGGCCTTCCTGAAGGACCTGAAGCTGCACCGGCACTCGCTGACGTACAGAGGCGCCATGCTCAACATCAACCGCTACAGATTAAGAGCCTCGTCCTGCCCAAACATTTTCAGGAATTCGATGACTACTATTGCTAAAGAAAAGGTGAGACATTTTTATTATCATCATAAAGATTTACGCCCGTATTCACAAACATTACTATGAGGTCTCACAGCGCGCGTGGACGCACAGCGTGTCACACGAACCAATCACAGAGCTCTATTCAACGCTGTGCGTGCCATTTGCTGCTTCACTTAAGCAAGTATCGTTTGTGAATACGATCGAGAGGGTTCTCAGTCATGCTCCAAAAATGGAGACTATCGCCCATAAGTTACTACCCACTTACTAATAACAATATTAGAGGATTTACTATACTTTATTAGACTAATTTGATAAGATGTTAAATTATTTCCATTGGTTATGAACTATACAGTAAAACATAAGCTAAAATTCATCCTTTATTCCCATCTACAGTGTGAGTCACGTTAAAGTGTACATATGAAAATAGATGAAACTAGACCTATTTTTATCGATTTTGACCTCTTTTAAAAAAGAGGTCAAAATAACAGGCAATACTAAAAAAATACATAAAATATACTTTTTTGTGTATTTTATGTATTTTTTTAGTATTGCCTGTTATTTAGCATTATTACTGTTTTTATTTTATCAGAATATACCGCTTAGTTTAAAACTTATTACGTTTTCTTTACAATAAGTAATTGGAAGAAAAAAAAATTCTATAAAAAAAAAAAACAAAAATTTTTTGACCTCTTTTTTGTCGATAAAAATAGGTCTAGTTTCATCTATTTTCATATGTACACTTTAACGTGACTCACACTGTATAGTTGGTTAGTATACTGACCATTGGTCATCAAATTCACAAGCACCAATGTCAATTCCAGGTTCAATGGTACGCCGGCCTATGGGATTTCTGGGACCTCGTGGTAGATGTCCTGGACTTCTCTCACTTCCTCAACCCGGCTTTCCTGGTGTTCGCGATATCCAACTTCTTACTATACATGTGGTACGACGTGCCGTATGTGTATATAGCTGATAACGCCTTGAAGATGGGCTTCAACGAGTCGCAGTCGTCTATGCTGATATCGATCATTGGGATCTTGAACATGTTTGGAGAGGTGAGTGGTTTTACTCAATACTTTATTGCATGCCAAATGTGTAGTGTCTTACTTATTCCATTGGTCTAATTATTTTATGGGGTTCTAAATAAAACACACGAAAAAGAACTTGGGTGCGACTGCTTTGGATGTTGTCTCGCAATAAGACTTCCCGATTGATGTATGAAAAAGGCCAATCTCAGTACCTCTAGCATGAACAACTTTCGTCTTCGAATCGTTTGCGTATTCGACAAAATTCGTTACTCAACCTTCGAATTAAACGATAACGTGACAATTTTGATTCTCAAAATAAGTTTCGTGCAACTATTTCTCATACTAAGTTCACTTTACGATACGTTCACAAGGGCGCTGTTGTAGTTTTCATACTAAATCTTTTGATAGCGATTCGAATACGCAAACGATTCGAACTCGAAAATTTTTCGTGCTAGCCGTACTGGATAAATGTATATTGCATATCCTGAGATGGGCCTTTGGAGTGCATTTTATAGGCTCTTCTCCATACTATTTCAAAGATTTTTTTTACCATGAATTCCACATACATAGTCATTTGAACAGCAAATATACCTAACGAGGTTTTCATTCGTCGCCAATGACAACGAGATGTAAGATACTATGTCAATAAAAGATCTGTACCTCTAGTACGAAAAACTTTCGAGTTCGTTTCGTTTGCGTATTCAAAGTGTCATCGAAAAATTTTGTATGAAAAATTAAACAGCGCCCCCTAGGGCGGCTATAATATAGGGGGCGCTGTTTAATTTTTCATACAAAATTTTGTATGAAAAATTAAACAGCGCCCCCTAGGGCGGCTATAATATAGGGGGCGCTGTTTAATTTTTCATACAAAATTTTTCGATGACACTTTGAATACGCAAACGAAACGAACTCGAAAGTTTTTCGTACTAGAGGTACGGAACCAAAAAAGCTTTTAGAGACGACTATTGATAGTTTATTCACATGAAAGGGAATGGAATTCGAGGTCTAATTCCACTTTCATCCACTTGTTTTAGGACTTCTATCCATGGGTGATCAAAGGACAATACGGTGATCAAAGTGGACTGCAAGCGACCTAGCGATCTTGGAGTTCATTTTGATCATCTAGGTGATTAAATCCAGGTGATCAAAGTGAAAAATAAAAATGTTCATTATTTTTGGAACATAATGTATTATATTTGATTTTTTTATGCCAGCAGTACACTCTCGTTACCTCTCGGTGTGTCTCGCTATAGCTCGGTCCCGTGTTCACACATGGGGCTGTCTCGCGAGACATTCGGGCGAGTTCTCGGACTTCTCGGAGGAGATTTTGAGATTCGGAGATTTTGTCAAAACTCCATACAAAAAAGGGGCTTTTCGACCACTTTTCGACTGGTTTGCGATTAAAATTTGCACTTTGTCTAGACCCACTGGTGGAAACGCAGCCTTGTTTATTAGACCACGTTTTCAACTCTTACTCATCACACTTTTTGCAGAAAGATTCCAAGTAATGTAATTTCTTTATTTATCAATCATTAAACAGCTAAAACGTGTCAGTTCGACCGTCCTCAGTCAAGTGCATTAACATTTATTACGTAATCTGTCTTTCCGTTATCAGTTCCTTATCAGTCACGAATCGAGACTTAATTAGGGCAGCCTCAACAGTGACTCAAGATAATGTTTGATAAGAGGCTACTACGAGTATTTACTCAGACTTAGATAGGGTTAAGTAGACTGAAGGATAAAGGAAGGTTTGCTCAGATTTATGATGTTTATGTTTGAATAATAAAGCGACACGTTTTACGGAATGAGTTGATGTTTTTCTTTGATTTAGTTTTGAAGAATTGTGACTTTTCTAGATAGTGGCCTAACAAATTTTAGGTTAGTAATACCCCGGATCAGGAAAATTTTTGTACTTATCCATATCCAATAAAAAATACCACAGCCGAGACTGCGAACCATTCATTTACCCAGGGACCTTTAGCAGTATGCAGACCACAGATTAGGCAACACTGGCTTAGACAAAGTAACATTATATTTTTGATAACGAAAGCGCTTCGTATCGTATTTATTTTGTACTCAATGGCGCAAGTACACTATGTGGGAAATTGGTCTAGATGTATAGTGTATACATACCGTGTTGCACCCACTCCTCTGAAGGTTGGAGACTCTACACTCGAAGTTGTTGACAATTATGTATACCTGGGACAAACAGTCCAGTTAGGTAGGTCCAACTTCGAGAAAGAGGTCAATCGTCGAATCCAACTCGGATGGGCAGCGTTCGGGAAGCTTCGCCATATACTCACGTCCGAAATACCGCAGTGTCTTAAGTCGAAAGTATTTGACCAATGCGTGTTGCCAGTGATGGTATACGGATCTGAGACGTAGTCGCTTACTATGGGCCTCATAAGAAGGCTCAAGGTCACCCAAAGGGCGATGGAGCGGGCTATGCTCGGAGTTTCCCTGCGTGATCGAATCAGAAATGAGGAGATCCGCANTACCTTTTTCTTTTTTTATTATTTTCTATTGACGTTCATAAGTGCCACTTGTGGTCTAAACTGAATAAATATTTTTTTGATTTTGATTTTTGATTTTGATTTTGATTAAAGTATTTGTCGTATAACTTCAGATCCTGCTGGGCTGGGTGGGCGACTGGGAGTGCGTAGACGCGAGCCTGGTGTATGCAGGCTGCATGGTTCTGTGTGGCCTGGTCACGCTGATCATGCCGTTGCTCTCCGGCTACGCGGCTTTGGGCGCGGCCGCTGGAGCCTTCGGCATGTTCATCGCGGCTAACTACTCGCTAACGAGTATTATACTGGTGGAGCAGATCACGCTGGAGAAGTTTACGAATGCCTATGGATTGTTGCTGCTGATGCAGGGCGCTGCGAATCTGATGGGACCGCCCTTAGCTGGTAAGTGATTTGATAGACTAGTTAGCTGAAGTTACAGGTGTCATCAGATGCTGCTGAACATAGGTCCTCAATGGGTAACTAGTGGGAAAGAAGCTACGCTGCCTGGTGAGTGGCGAGTGCTCTACTGGACTAGACAGCTGACAAGTCAAGTGTCATCATTTTAGCCGTAAGATGTAAATTTTAGCCAGCTAGTATGGTGGCCGCCGATGGGGCAGCAAGGTTATAGAGCATACCGGAAAACGCGGCGTGGGACGTCCACCCACAAGGTGGACCGACGACATCATAAAGGTAGCAGGAAGGCGCTGGACGCAGGCCGCTACCAACCGGGCAACATGGAAAGCACTGGGGGAGGCCTATATTCAGCAGTGGACGTCCTATGGCTGAGATGATGATGATGAAAATGCTGGCCAGCCAGTGATCTGCTGGATGAGTCCTCCGCTGCTCATGCCATTGCTCTCCGGCTACGCGGCTTTGGGCGCGGCCGCTGGAGCCTTTGGGATGTTCATCGCGGCTAACTACTCGCTAACGAGTATTATACTGGTGGAGCAGATCACCTTGGAGAAGTTTACGAATGCCTACGGTCTTCTGTTATTGATGCAGGGCGCTGCGAATCTGATGGGACCTCCTCTAGCTGGTGAGTGAACTCCTGGACTTTATAAGCACCTGTCTTGCTTGACCATTTCAGCCCTAAAATGTTCACTTCTGAACATCGTCCCCCATGTGGAAGTAGCCAGAAACGAGCTCATATGCTGGACTGGTGAGTACTCTGCTGGATAAGTTAGCTTTCTCAGGACAGGTGTCATTATCCAATCACAAGAACTGCTGAATATAGACCTCCCCCTCTGTGTAACTAGTAAGAAACGAGCTGCTGCCTGGTAAGTACGTAACTCTGCTGGAATAGCCCCCCCCCCCCTGTATAATTAATGGGAAACGAGCTATTATGCTGACACGAGCAAGCCGGTAAGTGCTCTACTGGATTAGTCAACTGTTATAAGACGCGTGTCTACATCTCATTCATAAGACGTCCACTGCTGGACATAGGCTTCCCTAATGTAAATCTACGCGGCGCTCGACGCGGCTACCGGAGCGTTTGACATGTTCTTCGCGGCCAACTACTCGCTCCCCAGCATCATACTGGTGGAGCAGATCACGCTGGAGAAGTTTACGAATGCATATGGACTGTTGCTGCTGATGCAAGGCGCTGCGAATTTGATGGGACCGCCGCTAGCTGGTGAGTGATTTGATGGACTAGTTAGTTGAATTTACAGGTGTCATCAGATGCTGCTGAACATAGGTTCTCAATGGGTAACTAGTGGGAAAGAAGCTACGCTGGCTGGTGAGTGGCGAGTGCTCTACTGGACTAGACAGCTGACAGGTCAAGTGTCATCATTTTAGCCGGCGCCTTCGGCATGTTCATCGCGGCTAATTACTCGCTCACGAGTATCATACTGGTGCAGCAGATCACGCTGGAGAAGTTTACCAATGCATATGGATTGTTGCTGCTGATGCAGGGCGCTGCTAATCTGATGGGACCGCCATTAGCTGGTGAGTGAACTCCTGGACTTTATAAGCACTTGTCATGCTTGACCATTTCAGCACTAAGATGTGTACTTCTGAACATCGTCCCCCCATGTGTAAGTAATGAGAAATGAGCTCCTATGCTGGACTGGTGAGTACTCTGCTGGATAAGTTAGCTTTCTCAGGACAGGTGTCATTATCCAGTCATAAGACGCCCACTGCTGAAAATAGACCTCCTCTGTGTAACTAGTAAAAAACGACCTGTTGCCTGGTAAGTACTCTGCTGGAAGTGCTGATTGTAGAGTCTGCTGCCAAGACCCGTGCTGCAAAAATAAAGTATTCTAGATTAGAATCATTTGAATATGGTAAGTTCTTGAATTAAAGACGCGGGAAAGAAGAATAAAAAACCCGTAATGTATTTTCTTGGTCGCCAAACGTACTGAATTAAAGCACATTGTGAGTTGCATTGCAGAAAGGTGAATGGTGCTTACTTGCGACCAAAACAATTTGTTTCTGATTCGTACATAAATGTAACTACTTAAAGTTACTGGGATAGCATATTGAATTGTCATTGTTTTGAACCTTTAGACCAGTAAATAAGATGTTTTTTACGTTGTCCATTGCCCTAAAAGAAGAATCTTCTAAGGATTTCTTCAATTTAAATTACTTTAGCAGTGTAACTGCGTGCTTATATTTTACTCACCCACCATTTCTCACTTCCAGGCTGGGTGTACGATATGACGGACTCCTACGACCTGTCCTTCTACCTGGCTGGAGTCTTCATCGGGATCTCCGGTCTTATCCTGCTGGTGCTGCCTCTGCGGCGACTCTTCACGCGCCGTTCCCGCCGCGCTCACCTGGCTAACGTCGCTAAAGTGGCTAACGGCGGCCTGAAACAGAACGGCAACCTGCTTGTGTGAGGCAACTTTGGTAAAGGGCAATATTGCCAATAAATTGGATTTGTAAAGCAAGATTGAAGGGGTAAGTGGACAAAGTTGTTATCTGACAAAACTGAAGAATCGACTTTTTTGCATGAACATAGGTTTTAAGTGATGATAAAATCGCTCAAAACACGCAAAATTTGTTACGGGTCAAAAATACAGACCTTGTGTTATCTGACAAGCATTCATACATTTCAGGATTCAAATGTGGTATGAGCAGATTAACATTTTCAAACACTCATAACTCATTTTGTTAGTTAAGACCTTTGTCCACTCAACCCTTCGATTGTCATAACATGCATAACATAACAAGACGGAAACGTAGCTATTGTTGTATCAAATATAATAGGGCAATAAATTCAGATTTAGACCTGCTAACGTTAACGTGGCTAAAGTGGCTAACGGCGGCCTGAAACAGAACGGCAACCTTCTTGTTTGAATCTTGGTAATCTTCCCAACTATTGAAGGCAATATTGCAACGAAAGCGCGACCTGGCTAACGTGGCTAAAGTGGCTAACGGCGGCCTGAAACAGAACGGGAACCTTCTTGTTTGAGGCAACTTTGGTAAACTTCCCGAGACTTCCTTCCATATTGCCAATTGATTGATTTGTAAAGCAAGATTGTCATCTTTAAGGCATATTGTTATCCATGTTAAGATTGAAACCTTGTAACTATTGGGTAGGGTTATAAATCAGAATGGGTTCCCGTGTGACGGTGTGAGGCAATTTTGGTAAACTTCCTAATTATTAAGGCAATATTGCAACGAAAGCGCGCACCTGGCTAACGTGGCTAAAGTGGCTAACGGCGGCCTGAAACAAAACGGCAACCTTCTTGTGTAAGGCAATTAGTAAACTTCCCAACTATTGAAGGCAATGTTGCAACGAAAGCGCGCACCTGGCTAACGTTGCTAAAGTGGCTAACTGAAACAGAACGGCAACCTGCTTGTGTGAGGCAACTTTGGTAAAGGGCAATATTGCCAATCGATTGGATTTGTAAAGCATGATTATCATCATAAAGCTTGTATTATTCTCAAGGAGGAAACGTAACTATTGGATAGGGCCTCAAACACAACAGCAACCTTCTTGTTTGAAGCATCTTTGGTAAACTTCCCGAAAATTTCTGATTGGGGTGGGCAATATTACCAATCGATCGTTGAGTCGCGCTATAAATCAGAATGGTTCCCTTCTCGTGTGAGGCAACTTTCTGATTGATGGCTGGTGTAAAACAAGTCATCTTTATTATGTAAATATTAAGAAGGAAATGTGTTTAGGGCAATAAATTAAAATGGTCACCTTATTGTGTGAGGGAACTTTGTTAAACTTCCTGATTGGTGAAGGCAAGAAAGGAGATGTAACGCTATAAACCTCTGATTTTGAAAAACTTCCCAATCTGTATAAAAAAGCAAATATGGCGAATCTTCTGAGTGAATATAAGATACCTTTGACACAAATATAATTTTTACAATACTTCTTGTTTCTAAAGACGTCGTCCTCGCGAAGCCAACTCTTTGCCTGAAAAGAAAAAAAGAGAATTAAAGTTCAATTGTAATGTACAAACAAATGTCTCTGAAGAACTACATCAGCGCAAATATGAGTGAAGACATGGCATTTTACATTCAGTAAATTCATTATTATCAAACAAATATCTATAATAGTAAATAAATAGTATATCGAATACTGTTATGGTGCCCAATCTCTTCCATTAAGGTTGATTCTGATCCGAGTAAATTATAATATACAAAACAAATAAACGTGTACACGAAAACAATACATCATTAGCAAATTAACGATACTGTGTTATATTACAAAGTGAGATAGTCAATAACTGACTAATTAATAATTCGTTGTGAGAAAACTAAATACAAAATTATTATAACGTAGGAGCTAGATATGTTTTGTAGCAAACACTATTATAATGTAAGTAAATCATTAGCATTCGCCCTAAGGACTAAAATATGACTGAATCTAGACAGACAAAATTAATAACACTTCGTAATAGGCTATGTATAGTTTTCCCTATAATAACTTGATCACAAAATAACTATAAGAATCATATATAATTAAAGAGAGAAAATTATAAAAGTATTTAAAATATTATTACATAAGGTAACAACGATTTTCATGATTAACCTAACGGTGATAAGTAAAATTTTACTAGCGATAAGGACATTTTAGAAACCTATTTAACTCAATATCATCACAGTTAAAAATAAAAACTAGCTTATAAATTCCAATACAATTGTACTCAAACTTTTATACATTAACCATTTAATAAAAACCAAGTCTAGCCATAAAGTTTTGAATGAGATATTAGTTTAAATAAAAATAAGCAATAAAAACGTATTTACATAGCTTATTTACTGAATTTTGATCGTAGATTTTTTTATCGCTGGATACGTTTAGCAGTCATACCATGCATATATTATATTTATACAAATTAGCAACTTATTTACAATTTTCATGATTACAAAGATTAAAAGCAATAGAGTAGAATTTATATACACATGTAATATTCATGTTATCAAAGTATATATTCATATTTACCGTAATATACACGCTAGAGTTGAGTAATCAGATTAGAAATATGTACATTATTTGCTTGTTGTATAAGATCAAAGTTATGTATAAAATGTGTCTATTGTTACAATGACTCGCCAAACGATGCTAAATTGCTAATGATGACGAAAATTGTCCTAATATGTACAAAACATCAACTTTGTGACATTTTGTGATTTTAATGCCCATTTTAACCATCAATCCCTAATTTTTAAGTGACCCCTATGATAACACAACAGGAATTTTGTTTCACTTAAAAAGGAGTCGCTTAAAAATTAGGGATTGATGGTGAAAACGGCAACTAGGCAAGTCGACATATTTTATGTTTTGTGTATTAAAAGCAGGCCGCTGATTGTAAAAAATTGGTGCAATAATAAATGACTTAGGCCCAGAACAGACGGTGAAACGCAACTGCAACGAAACTGCAACTTTCTGATGATTCTTATGAATGAAAGTGAAACTGAAAGTTTCAAACTGGTCGCGTCATGTGTGGTCTCTCAACGGACGCTATGGCAGAAACTTAGATGCGACTCAAAAGTAGCAGTTGCAGTTTCGTTGCAGTTGCGTTTCACCGTCTGTTCTGGGCCTAAGGAGAAATTAACTATTAGAGGATTGCATTATTTATAACTAATAGTTATTAGTTCGTGTATCAATGAAGGTTTGTATAATTATAGCAAAAGTTTGAATCTGTACTGATAGAAAGAATAGCCTGGAAAAATAATAAGCTAACTAAGAACGGTTGTAAGGAATAGAAAAAAATGTATAAAATTAGGCTTTGAGTTTGAGAAGTAGATTTGAATCGGACCGAGTAGTTTGTATTTTAGTAGTTTAAGAATTATTGAAAAGAAAACCCAATTGATAAAAAATACCATTAGTCAGAAAATGTGTGGTTTGGCTAACAGTAAATGAAAACATTCTGTTTAGTTTAATGCAGTTTTTAAACGAAGTTATTTCTTGCTTTAAGTATTATGTTTTCAAAGATCTGGCTGAATTTCTGTTGTTACTGAAGTAATGTAAACAAAAATGTTTTAGGCTATAGTTATTATGTATGATTTTGTCTTACATTTATTTAGTATGTTTATAGTTTTTGCTGCAAATCTATTACAAGTGCGTAAGATGGTATAGCAGTGTCCAACTTGATATGCCGTCGGCCAAACTTTTGTTTTACCTCGCACAATTGATTTTGAACTGAATTAATTTGGTATAAGATTCAAAACCAATTGACTAGTTGACCAGTATACCAGTACGACTATATTTTTGACTGTATGATGAACTAAGATCTTCCTATAGCTTTTATTACTGAAGAAGTAGTACTAGCAAATATCACGATTTTTTGGAAATGACAAAGTATGCCTTTAAGACGCAAATAATAGCTCATAACGAGCTAAGATCCTGTTTATGACATTAAGGCGATTAGTGTCCTCANTTAATTCGAATTTTATTACGAATAATCTTTTAATTTAGAGTTAGTTAGTTTTTACGTTTACTCGCACTAATGATAGCTCGCGACATTGTAGACTATCTACTCGACAAGTTGAAGTATTTCTTTGTGTCTAAGTTCTAGTTATTGTGACCTAAATAAATGATAATTACAAATACATGACGACACCCGGTTATTTGATATGATTATGATTTATTGGCAAAAAAGAGTATTGAATTATTATAATACAGTTATGTGACGTCGCTATTTAAAATCAAGCACCTAAGCTAAATGATTTGGCGCGAAATTAAAGGTAAATGTGAGTGGTGTCGTTCTTTCTATTGTTATAATGTAATACCACTCTATTGTCATTATTTATTTACATAAATAAATGTGTTAACCTGTCGGTGCCGGCTGTATACAGGGTGATCAGATGCTCAAGGCATCAGACAATTTACGTTATATGTATACTCGTTGTATTCTCTAGCGTACATATATTTCAATAAACCAATTGTCTGAACTCAATTTCCCCTGGCGGGATAAACTTGGTCTTTAAGGGTTAATTTCTATTGGCAGTTCAGTCAATAAAAATTAACCCTGCTCTTTTCCCCTGCCAAATAATGGTATTATGGTATTTTTGTATGTCTTGGCAATAGGTTTATTGAAAATCGACAGCTGTGTGTTTTAAAAAAACATGTTTTAGTGAAAAATCTCTTGTATGCCGCATATAAAATATCCGAGGTGTAATTATCATGTTTGTGAGATAGTGTTGTCAGTGTGATAGAAAACTAAGATTGTGAATGTGTTAGGATTTTATCAAACATCACGAAACTACATCTCATTTGGAGAAAAAAATCATGTTTGTTTAGACTACATTTTTTAAATTCAAGTTTATAATCTGGCGAAGTGCAGTTAAGGTTATTATTTTTATTATTCTAAAAACAGTTGTTTGGTCTTTATTTTCTAATTGTGTAAAGAAAAACATCGTAAGTGTAATTTTGAATTTTTTTTTGATAATTGCCAAAATATTGTTTGTCCAAAGACGCGTAGAAAGTGATTGATCGAAACGGGTATAACGTAATAAGCGTATATTGTAAGGATTGTATGCAGCTATTGTAGATGTGATTTAGTAAAATTATGATTTTATCTTTTTATGTTGGTTTTATTTTTTTACTTAAATTATCTTTCCTTTTTTCTATTCCTAGTGTGATTTTTACTATTAATATTATGTTTTTTCTATATATTTTTATTATACACAAATCAGCAATGTGTTACGAAATATTTTTAAATTTATTCCGGCATATTTTACTAGTAAATAGCTTTCTTTTAATTTTACCTACATATTCGATATTAATTTTCCTTGCTATATCTGTGTGACAATTAAACAAAGTGT